TACTTGTGTAAAAATAGAGTCAGGTAAAAGTAAAAGTACTGTGTGGTTTTATAGATGGCTGTGATGAAACAGTTTCCCAAAATGTCAAACTATTACATTTAATAAACATGTTATGAGTAATTTAAGTGTGATGAAATAACTCTTCATCAGGTTANACCTCCTGTAGTTTGTGCTGGCCAAATTTCAGGTGTGTACGACCTTCCCTGTAGGAAGAGATAGATTCTGAAAACGGCCAAAAATGGCCAAAAGTCAGGCAACATCACCAAAATTGTCACCAGGGTTTTTCAAAATGACGTACTTCCTGTTGGGCTTAGGACTTGGTGCTGATTGAGTTTTTTGTGCGTCCTGACCTGCTACACATGCTCACTGAATCTTGTCAGTGGAGGTGAAACAACCATCCGACAACAGTCAGTTGAATGCAAAAAACACAGCGAAAATGGACAAAATGGCCATTGATCAAAATTGGACGGGCCACCATTTCCAAATTGAGCCTCATCTGCGGAGCATTTGAAGAACTTTTAATCACCACGTCATGTAGTTTGTGCTCACCAAATTTTAGGTGTGTACAACGAACCCCCTAGTAGGAGTTCGATGTTGAAAATGGACAAAAATGGTCATTTTTGAGTGAAAATGGCCCGCCATGCTCACCGTTTTTCCAACATGGCGGGTTTCCTGTTGGGTTTACAGAAACATGCTAATGGACTTTTTTGTGCGTCCCGAGTTGTTACATATGTGTGGTGAAGTTCGTAGTTCTAGGTGAAACATAGCGCCGATGGGACTCTGTAGAAATATTGTAGGGGGCACAGTTGAGCCGTGTTGCATTTTTGACCTTGGTCCAGCAGATTTTTTTGTTCGTGCCAACCAGCTCTATATGCCTATGAAATTGCGTAGCTCTAGGGCAAACATGCTTCCAACAGGACTCCATTGAAATTTTCAAGATGGCGCTATGGAGCAATTTCTGTAGTGAGGTGTGTATTTTTCTTCCAAATTATAACATTTTTTGCCGGGTCTGATGTGTGTGGTGATTTTGGTGAGTTTTCGAGTACGTTACGGGCCTCAAAAACCCTTTTGGGTGCTCGGACCCTAAATATTGTGTTGTTGAGTTCCAGATATTTTTCTTAAGAAATTTCAAGTTGTTCATAATGTTTTGTAAAAACATGTTGAGAATGTCCTGAATTTTTGTCATTTATAGGTTTTTATGCTGTGATTTTACTGGGCCGGCCCACTTGAGATCAAATTGGACCGTATGTGGCTCCTGAACTAAAGTTAGTTTGACATCCCTGGTCTATGTATTGGGTTATGGTTTTAAAGGTTTATTTTCTACTTGAAATATTACTTTTTGGTACAAGAACTTACTATTTTAAAGGTTTACTCCACCCAGACATTATTTTCTAATTTAGGAGTTATGGTTTTAAAGGTTTATTCCACCAAAAATACTACTTTCTGTTCAAATTATTTTGGTTTCAAAGGTTTAAACAACCCAAATACTGCTTTCAGACTAATCAATTATGTTTGTAAAGGTTTGTTACGCCTGAAACTCTTTCTGTTAAAGTATTTATAGATTTCAAGGTTTATTCAACCCAATACTTAAAACTTGATTCACATTGAGTATTCACACTGAGTGTCGTCCGTCTTGACCAGTCCTACCTTCACTACATGCTACTCTTTTAGTTATCCCATTCAGGAGGTTGCACTGCTGTGAAAAACAAGGTTCCTACAAATGTGGTTTAATAACTACAGTCCCAAAAAATGCAGACTCTCAGTTCTGATTGTTCCTCCTTACACTTGCCTATTTTGACTTTTTGCACCAAAAACCCATATATTGTTCTTCATTTTGTTGTCATCTCTACATTTATGAATAATTCCCTAAAGGAACTGTTCAAGAGTTGGTACAGTAGTCTGTTAGCTTAGCTTAGCATGAACACTGGAAACAAAGGCAAACAGCTAGGCTGGGTCTGAAAACATAATCCATCTGCTAGAATCTCTGAACCTAAAAAATGACATGTTGTGGTTTTATAGATGGCTGTGTGATGAAACAGTTTCCCAAAATGTCAAACTATTACATTAATAAACATGTTATGAGTAATTTAAGTGTGATGAAATAACTCTTCATCAGGTTAAACCCCCAAATTCATAATAACAACACTGAGGATCTGCACTTGGTGCAGTACTATTACAGTTCCTGAATGAATTATAGTCACTAATCAGTTACTGCTGGAGTTACTGCTTTAATTTTGGGGTAGTATAGCCTTCTGCTGGTGCCACTTTTATACTGTTAAGGGCTCTTGGAGCTGGTATTCAACATCGTTGCTGTCTGTATTGTGCTAATACTGTATTATAGAGCATTAAAGAAAAATCTTGTGTATGCTCTCCTCATTAGGATGTTCTCATATGTGGGCATGTGTAAGTTTTAATGTTTTATCCTGAACTGGCGATTATGTGACATTGCATCTCAGGTTACATTGCCGAGAAATGCAAAAGTAATGTAACAGATTACTTTCTAGATGGAATAAATAAGTAAAGAAATGTACTACGTTTTAAAATCTAGCATGTCATATATTATTTCAGATCAGTGGTCACTGAGGCCCTGAAATATTCTACTTAAAACCATTTTTTTTTGCACTCAGTTGTTGCCACAGTTAACAATAAATATCAAAAATATAGATATTTAAGAAATTACAGGATGTCTGTGTTGATCTCATATTCATCTCACTGTATGTTATGATGTTATCACTGTAAGGCTTACAGTGAGTCTGTGGTGCTGATGTAACAGTTTCTTTTAATTGAATTTCTGAAGATGCCTGAGATGCTCTTGTATCATTTCCTTATGGTTGTCCTTATATGACATCTTTTTTTTGTTTTATGCATCCAAGCATAACTTCTTTTATCTTTCCCCAGCCACAGCGGATATTTAAACCAATAAGGAACGTGCTCCTAACAAACGACCAATGAGGAAAGTGATGTTTTCCAGCTCCCTGATCTGAGCCTGATCCTTGTTTTGGTGCTGTAGAGGCAAATGAGGTGAAAATGCTGTCAAGCTCAGCAGAATGTTGCACAATACTGTTTCCTGTTTCTAGGCTAAAACGAGATTAATTACAAAATAAGAGACCTTCAGAGGGCTCAGTTTTGCAGCATTGCATGAGATTGGCTTAAATTACTATTAGTACTCATAATTTAATTTATACTAACTCAAAAGTTACCCTCCATCATTTATGACTTAAATGTAATTTTCTACTAAGTGTAATTTGAGTGTAATACTGGAATCATATTACATCAATGGCATGTGAGGTATGAGCTTAATCTGTCTAAGCAGGTTGAACTGGATAAAGAGTAAAACTAACAGATCAGTAACTTTTAGTGTAGTTTTATGGATATTTCTAGCATCAGGTGTCTATCATCTAACACAGTTTACATGTTGTAACAGACGTTTGAGTATGGCATTCATCTTAACAATTAAGCACGTCAATGCAAGTTACATGCACTTTATATGGAAAATCATTCTACATGATACCATTAACCCTATTCAGGACTTTTGGGTTCTTTTGAACCCCAGGCCATTTGGTTTCGGTGACAGATATTGTTTTTTGTTTTTTAATAATTAAAATAAACAAACAAATAAATAAATAAATAAATGAAAGAGGGACATTTGTCATGCATTTGGAACCAAAAATACGTCAACTTATCAGAAAATGTATTTTACATAACATAAAAGTCTATAATGAATACCAAAAAACATTTTGCACATATTCATTCTTGGGGTCCAATGGACCCCAAAAGACCTTCTATGTTTGGCAACATGAAAATCCTGAATAGGGTTGATGCATTTAAACCCGTCCGTTATAATACTCTGCGTTTATATGATCTCTTTTTTTTTTCTACATATAGAAGAATCTGTGCAATATCAATAGAATTTATACAATAACAATATTTTTAACATCACTTTTTTTTAAAGTCATGAAAGAATCAACCGACCATGTAAACAAATTTGTGCAATATCTGTTTTTTTTTGTTTTGTTTTGTTTTGAACATCAAGGAGAATCTGTACAGTATCAACAGTACCTCTGTATATTTCTTATTTTCTATTTTCTTTTTTTCTTTTTCTATTGATAAAATAATCTTAACATTTAAATTATTTGGTAAAATATCACAGTTAATTCTGTACGTATGGAACAATATCAGTATTTTTATTATAATTTTTTTTCTTCTCATGGAATAATCTGTGCAATGCCAATGTCTGTACAAGTAGAATATCTGAATTTCTTCAAACTAGTAAATGAGAATCTGTAAAATATCAACAATACTTATGTATATTTCTTTCTTTCTTTCTTTCTTTCTTTCTTTCTTTCTTTCTTTCTTTCTTTTTTTAATTTTTTCATTTTATCCTTTGTCTTTTGGTTTTTTTTTGTTTGTTTGTTTGTTTTTGCACTTTTCCCTTTGCTATTGGACCACTGTAAATTCAGTAAAGGGTTAATAAAGACTTATCTTACCTTTTTCTAATCTCACCACTGGGCAAAGTAATGATTTTTTATTCTTTGACTAATTTGTTTTAATTTTCTTAGGTGTTTGTGCTGAAAATACCTAACTGGATGTACTGGGATGTTGATGGTAGCTTCACGCATATTTTTATTTGAACTATTGTCACACACGGGGTATCTGAGGACAACTGAACACACTGAAACAATTCAAAATAAAAGCCACCATCTGTCTTTAGCTGGTGAAATGAACTGTTAGAAATGGCATCAACCTCCAACTAGCTGAATGTCTGTACAATGAGTTACTCAATGAAACTAACTAGTCTGTGACTGTTGTCTATGAACAATTGACATATCTAAGCCTTTCAAAATAAAACTCACTCTGCGGCTTTAAGTCACTGCGCTGACTCACCAACGTGCTTTTATTCTGAAAATCCTTTCCGGACGTGTCGTCGCTGTGATATCCGGCCAGCTTACCTGCTCTGTGGCTCTCCAACATAGCGCCGTCAGCCTGTTATGGAAGCGGAGGGAGCAGCAGCGAGCGGCGGGCTGATACAGCGGGACCGGCTGGGACTAGTTCTCAGGCGTGATTTGGAAAGATAACGCTACATACGGGGAGCCCGGGGAACGAAAAAAAAAAGAAAGAAAAAAACACCCACAGAGACAGCTTTTTAAAAACCACGGAGCCGCCACGGTGACAACATGAACCCGACAGCTGCGGAGGTAATTACCCGCCGCCGTCGAGTGTAGCTCCGCGGCCGCAGCTGGACCTTGACGGCGGCGTCACTTCGGAGCCACGGGAATCTTGTTTTTTTTTTTTTTTTTTTTTAATGGGACACAACCGGGGCTTCCCCCACCGCTCCGTCGTCTGTTTTCCCGCCGTGACAGCCTCCCCTTCGGCTAGTATCGACTCAGCACCGAGGTCTCCGCGTCTTATGGACTCGGAACAGTAGTTTTTTCGAAGCTTTTTCTGCCGCTCGGCGGACTGACGGACGCGGCAGTCATGTTCGCGGTGCGCATCGTCACCGCAGACTACTATGTGGCAAGTCCCCTCAAAGACCTGGACGTGTGCTATTCTGAATTCAGGGAGAGCGACGTGAAGAAAGTGCCGGTGGTGCGGATATTTGGAGCGACACCAGCAGGTTTGTCAACTCTTTGTGTTTATTTGTTGTTCTCCTTCTTTTCAGCACCGCAAGCCGCGTGGTTGCCGCCGTTGCCGCTTGGACGCAAACGCGGCGACGCTGCTTTGTTTAGAGGAAACCTGACGGCTGCTTATGCAAAATGACAGGAAGGTGTTTCAGGGTGTCGACACGTTGTACCAACGCGGCATGCACATCTGCTGCTCTGCATACAGGCTACCTGCAGTGCTGGGAGTCCTCCTTCTCCCTCCTCACTCGCTTTTGTTTTCTCCCCCATCATGGTGCTGCCGCTGCCGCTGATCTGCACCTCTGTCTGCCACATGTGGCATTGAGAAACAACTTGCCTCCTTCTCTTTGTGCTGGTTTTATTGTGCTTGTTGCAACCTGTGGAGTGTGGACAGCATGCTGCCACCTCCTTTTCGTCTCATTTTCTTTGTATATCTAGAAAAACATCAACATTGAAATAGAATAAAGGGAACACCCCACTAGTGAAATCACAGCAATATTTGAAGCCAAACAGATGTAGTAGTGGCAGAAAATGACAAATCTGGTGCTTTTTATGAGCGAAAACACTAGAAAGGCAGGGCATCATGACAGCACATTAATATGCAGGCTGTAACAATGGTTGTCATGATAAATAAAAACCATCACTGTGTGAAAATGTAACCTGCAGTGCTTATTCCTATTACAAGACCTTTATAAAGAGAGAATATCATTGTGTGCAGACTGCTGCTATAGAAGAAACATACCCTGGACAAAGAAGATGCTGATATTTATTGTAGATTTGTGTCTCCTCTGAGCTTTGGCACATGCCCTGCTCTCTGCTAAAGCCATTGCAGCCGAGCACTCTGGGTACCTTAATCCCCACGCCGCAAAACAATGGAATAATTTCCTGCACAATGGCACAGCATTAGCACCCCTGCCAAATCCTCCGGCGACTGCACTGCCCTCTTTTCAACCCTGTGTGACAGGTGAAAGCACCATTCCAGTACAGTCACGGTGTGTATTTTTAGCAGGGTCAGTCCCCAGTGGGGGAAAATGGGAGTGAAGGCTGGTGTCAGTCAGTGCTCCTCCTTCACAGGACGACCCGGAGCAGCGTCCAGCAGGATGCACCTCCAGTGAGGATTAAAGGCTTTGGAGCAGAGACATAAAGGACAGTGGGTCAGGGGTTTGGGTGGCAGGTCTAATTCGGTCCTGTCGTAAACCTGCACGTTCGCATGCGGTTGTTCTGATACAAGAGGGCTGCACACACACACACACACACATACTGCTGCAGAGGCAGGCTGAGAAGCTTGTGAGTTAAATGTATGTGGAGGAGCTATTCGTCAACACTGATTGAACCACAACCAACCTTGCGAATACAGCATTGTAAACCACAGGAAATCACAGTATACACTCAAATAATGACTGATATTATAACAAAAATCATGATCATATATGATTGCAAAAACATTTTTTTGATCCTAAAATCTACATTATTGCTGTACTAGTAGATAAAATGAAAAGACAGTTATTTGTTGAATGAATCTATACAGGATCAAACTATTTTTTTCTCAATAAGAACACTAAACATTGCTGGTTACAGCCTCAAATATGAGGACTGTATGCTTTTCTTTGATATATGCAGAGAAGGAATTCACTATCTTGGCTCTCTGTCAGATTTAAAAGCAACATTCAAGTAAAACCTTGAGCAGCGAGAGATTTTGATGGGCATTTTTAACCACTGTCTGACCTTATGTGAGCTAAAACCCCAAAATATGCAATTTAAAATGGCATAAAATAGAAAAAAGCAGCAAATTGTTATATTTTGGAAGCTGTTTTCAATGAATTAATGGTGTTTTTGCTTGACACATAAAGTAATTTCATATGAAAACGATTGTCATTTCAGCAAGTATCCACACTATAACATGACCGTCCTGACTATAGGTCATTCTGGCTGGTTGTTAGGGCTGAATGGTGTATTTAATAAGCTATTTGTTGGTAGATTTTGCTTTATTTGATGACTGCAGTCGAGCCAGACAGCAAATGTGGGAAGAAAGAGAAGTGTGTGACATCCATCATGCAGTGTGTGTTTACTACATCAGACTGTTGACTTGTCATTACAGGAAAACACAAGTATAATTAATAGCATTAACATCGCATTAATAGTGACGTCTCAGTTCCACGTGTGTTAAGTAAGTCATGCTAGTGAGCCATCATGCATAATACCAGCCCTGTGGAAGTTACTCAATTTCATGGAATCGCACCTGAAAAGGTCTTATAAGAGGACAAGGTAGTTGTCATAAGAATTATGCTGGTTTTCCTCCATTTATTTGGTCATGTCCGACACATGCGTGCTGACACACACTCTTGTTTGAAGCTCGTCTACATGCCTCTTATCCTGTCTGATTGGTTAACATTCCTGACTATGTGGCATTTAAATGAAAGCCACTATCTTATTGAAGCATTAAGAGCTTTCACTGATTCAGTTCTTACACCAGCACAGTCACTGGCATTGTTTCCCTGTTGTCTGTGTGGTTTGAAACTGACTTTTGTGTTGTTTCAAGTCACAGTAATGACAAAGTTGTCTGCCTGTAGTTTGTGCGCTGTGGTCGGTGCCCTGCAGATTCTCAGCAGCCTCCTCTCGCTCAGTTTATGTATCGCTCGTGTGGCTACGTTTCCAGAAATAAAATTACATCACCATCTGGAATGCATTGAAGCGGAGAGCGATCACTCTTCTCCCTCTGTAGCCGAGGCCACACCTACTGAAAATAAGTTGCTTTTTGATATTTCTCTTTTGCCTTCGTGGTGACGAAGAGAGGAGTGCATGAGCAGTTTTGCTTAGTGTGGGTCAGCTTTTATCTCATCAGTGTGTTTACCCTCATGTAAGCGGTCAACAGTGCATCTGCACCATGTGGCTCTGGCTAAAACCCCAGGCCTCATATTCCCTGTCCTTCCCTGACCTGAGCCATGCACACTCCCACCCATCAGCCTTGTGTAATTCGATGCCACGCTTCCTGCTTTTTTTTTTTTTTTTTTCCCCTCTCCCTCTTTATAAGCATTCAGCGGCTGTGCTGGCTGTGTCGCACACATACTGTATATGCATGCCCATTTCTGGAAAAGCTCAAGGAGAGGAGGCGAGAAAAAAGAATTCCCTTTGTTGTGGCAGTTGCATTCGTGATCAGTATCACGTTATGCTTATTCATAACCAGCTTCACTGGCGTTCACCGAGAGTCTCCCAGGACCGTAAACATCCAGCCTCCTCTCACACTGCTGAGAGCTGCTGTTGAGGCGGCTGCGAGCTTTTGAGGTTTGACAGCATTGATCTCCAGCCTTGATGCCGACAAGCTCGGCCCAGATGCACTGACAGGCCCTGGGCCTCGTGACGGCAGGAGGCACACTGTTTTGGTTCCTCGCTCGGACATGTGCACTTGAGTGTTTATTGGGTGTGTAAAGGAGCAGAGAGGGAAAAAGTGCATGACCAATTGACCTGAATGAGGAGGCCAAGCAGTGAAGCGCAGGCAGGGATAAAATGCAGGGCCTCTTCCTTCCCCCCGGCCCCTCTCCCTCCCAGGTTTAGCTCTCTCCAGGGGAACCCTTAATGCCATCTGAAGGAATTCCTCCCGGATCCATTAATGGGATAATAGGCAGACTCAGAAGGACTCTGTGGCTCATTAGGCAGAAGGTCATTGTCCCTTTAACTGTTTACTTTCCTCTGTTCCTGTTGGTTACTCTGGTTCAATTATCATCCTCTACCCGCTGCTCCAATTACCTCTAATCACTTTATAATTGAGTGAGACATCTATTTGTTGATATGGTGTCTCTGGATTTGACTTTAATTCTTTTTTCCCCCCATGATTTTCCAGTTTTGTAAAATGTAAATGTGTTGCTTGTAATAGCTACAGGTTTACCAGAGTGTTGGTGGTGATAGAGGAGCATCACAAAAAAGTGACCGAGTGCTGCTCCACACTAATCCTCTTCCTGTGATGTTTTTCCTCCAGATTGAGGCCCAGCTTCTTGTGGAGGCTTTTTGAACGTTGAATGGAGGAAGGAATGTTTTACAGGATTATGGGTTTTGGGACAGAGAGCTTCTCTTCATTTGAAAATCAATGAAGTTAGTCTGGTTTATGAAAGGAAAACATGTTTTTTTTACAGTTTAGTCACAGGTATAGTGACATTTCAGTTTTACTCATTTGTTAGGACTATAAATAAATATCTTTTTACTGTAGAGAACCAGGAAAGGTGCAAGGTGGCATGAACGTTTACACCAATATAGTCATAATCAGTGCTTTTAACCTTTCTCATTCCATTGCAGTGTAGTATCAGACAATTTCAACCGTGATGTCAACTCCAAGTATGCCAAAACAATGATATATACTAGATGCCAGAAGTGACTCCAGCTCGAGGAGCATTGAGGAGTAGATGCTATGGAGGGAATGGAGGGAACAGAACAATGGAGGGTGTGTTTTGTTAGCCCATATGGTGAATTTGATGTTGTCGACGGCAATGATAGAAAGGACATCAAGGGAGAAGAAAAAAGTGTCCACACTGAATTTATCCAATTAGTGTTGCCTTCTCAGATCTTAACCAGTCAGCGCTGAGTCCCCCAAAGCTTTTTTTCCTACCATGTAGTAGGTACTTTTCTCCCCAGAAATAGGTTCTACTGGGGCAGTTCCTATGGTTGGAACATGCTCAAAAGTTCTGGCCATCTTAAAATGGCCCGAATGTTCCAGCAGTGGAAAATCTGTCAGAATCTTGGCAAGAAACGTACTTTGTCTTCTTAATTGCGTACTACAGCTGCCCTCACAAAGCACGCACTGTTAAATGCAGTATGCATACAATGACACATACTACTTCATCAAAATAATGCCTCCTAAACCTTAACCGCTGCAGTCTGTAATGCAAAAGGAGCTGTCAGCTGTCTGTGCACTCTTGGCAGCTAAACTTTTTTATATGCAACATATGTGATGTAACTGTGCAGAGGATTGTGGGTCAGTATGCTGGCTTGCAAACTGCAAAATCTG